GCAGTGGCCCTATGGCCACCGCCGCCTCCTACGCTTCTCCTCCCAGATCCACAACCTGGGAAGAGCCGATTTCCGCCCCAGGATGGGGCGGCACGCCTGGACCTGGCACCAGTGCCACCGGTGAGTGGCCCGTGGGCAGGGGCTGGCAGGGAGCTGCTCCCTCCCTGGGCCAGGCAGGGCACGGTGGCACCGGTCCCCAAGAGTCTGTCCCACCCGGGGTAATTAACAGCGTCTGCACCAGCACTGTCATTACAGCTTTATTTGGCTTTGAGGCTGTAATTTGCTGAGTCCCTAGGTGCTGTCTGCTCCTGGCAGGGCAGCTGGGCCAGCCACGTGCTCCCTGGCTGGGCACCAGCCCTGCATTCAACCCCTCTTCCCGCAGGCACTTCCACAGCATCGAGGTCTTCACCCACTACGACCTGATGACACTCAATGGCTCTAAGGTGGCTGAGGGGCATAAGGCCAGTTTTTGCCTGGAGGACACCAACTGCCCTGAGGGTAGGTGCCAGCCACAGAACTGACAGTGGCTCCCTCACTCTATTCCCCAAAGGAGGCTCTGTCTGTGCTCTCCCTCACCTCCCCTGCCTCCCACAGGGCTGCAGCGACGCTTTGCCTGTGCCAACTTTGGGGAGCAGGGGGTGAGTGTGGGGTGCTGGGACACCTACCGCCATGATATTGACTGCCAATGGATCGACATCACCGACGTGCCACCAGGCAGCTACACCTTCCAGGTGTGGGGATGGAGGGGCAGGGGGTGCACCACTGGAGCTCAGGGCTGGGGGCTGCCCTCCCTAAGCACCACCAGCACCCCTCACCCTGCACATCGGGGTGCTGCTCTGCACCCCACTGTGCATGCCACAGCCCTACCTGGCCAAGGCATGGCAGAGATGGCCCCAGCCCTGCCCTTTGCCCTTCCCAGGTGGTTGTGAATCCCAAGCATGAGGTGGCTGAGTCAGACTTCTCCAACAACGTGATGCGGTGCCAGTGCAAGTATGATGGGCAGCGCATCTGGATGCATGGCTGCCACACAAGTAAGGAGGGACAGGAGCATAGGGGGCATAGTGGGCAAGGTGGGGGAAGTGATGGGGCTGGGGTGCTGCAGGTTCCTTGTGTCCTATCCCCCCACTCAAGGCATCATCACTCACTCTCCTCAGGTGATGCCTACAATGCTGACGTGGTTCACGATCTGGAGAGACAGGAGCGCCTGGCCAACAACCTCGTGTGACCCCTCAGCATTGGCACAGTCCTAGCAGCACCACGGGACAGTCTGATTTCCATGTTCCAGCCCCTGTGTCCTGGAAGCACTGGACTGAGCTCAGGGACTTGCAGACCTTTGTATTTATTGATGCTGCTGCAGAAGATGGAGATAAGCGCAGGGGCTGGCAGGGAGTGTCCAGGGGCGTCCAACCCTGCGCTGCCAGTGGGACTTGCAAGAGGTGCCCAGGTACCACAGCAGCCCTCAACTCTGTCTCCAGTGCTCCCCCAGGACAACTACCTCAGCCTGCCTGCCCAGCCCCCCTGCTACAGCACTCAGGACAGTCTCCCAGCCACCCATGCACCAGTTCTGTCCTCAATAAAGCTGCTGTGAGATGGGAGCAGGGTGCTGTGGTATGGGAGAGGGGGTACTCCCTTATCAACCCCCCCATCCCCTGCTCCTTTCCCTGTGCTCTCACCCACTAGGACCACGAAGCAAGTCCCCAGCTGGGAACAACCCTGGTCTAGTCAATGTGTCCCCAGCCAAGCAGTGTCCCCTTTGTGGCACTCAGGGCCACCAGTCCCTGTCTACCTGCATGTGGCTGGCATCATGCAGCCCTGGCTTGCTACCAGCAGTTCCCACTGGCCAGGGCACCTTGGCCC